CGGAGAGTAGTGGACTGGCTGCCGTGTCTTGTAGGCTTCTGTTTTTGGGTTTGCAGGGGGACCAGGTGGTCCTACGTCCACGTCTATGGCCTTCTTTTTGCCTCAGGGGGTATTTGCTTTTGATGTCTTTGAGGATATAATAGTCTGGGATGGTCCTTCATTGCTTGGATGTGATTACGGCTGTGCAGGTCTCTCTTCTACCCTGAGCCTTTTCGTAGGCAGATTCCTTTTTTGTTGTTACTGAGGGTTCTGGGTAGGGTGAGGCAGCCACCATTTCACGTTGGATAGGTAGGTTATGTCAGGCCTACGCTCTTAAGGTTAGTCTCCACTCCTTCCTTTCTGCTACGTGAGTTGGCACACTCTGGGTCTTTCGTCATCGCTCAAGTTTATAAGGCGGCCACCCGGTCATCGGTGTGCTCTTTTACTAGTTTTTTTTTACATGATCTTTGACCTGGCAAATGCGGTTTTGGCCTCAAAGTTCTACTGATGGCTAATTGGTGTATGGGTGCTCTTCTTTTTTTTTTTGTTCTATTTTTTTGCCCACTCCTTGGTTCTCAATGATTTGGGACATCCCTTCCGTTGAATGATGAAATGGCTGTGTCCTTCAATGAACGTTGGAAAAAAAAGGATTTTTTGTCTGTACCTAATGTAAAATCTTTTTTTTCGGAGTTCATGTTGAGCCACCAGCAGGGCTACACTTTCATGTTTTGAGTCTAGCGTTTATCTCCCTCAGGTGGCAATATAACTAGGGATGCACCAATACTAGTATCGGTATCAATTCCGATACCGAGTATTTGGGTGAGTACTCGTACTTGCCCACCTGCTCCAATACTTATCCCAAAAATTCCGGCCAGAGGGATATTTCCTCTGACTGGCAGTTCCGCGAAGGAACATGGAGCCGGCTTCCTTGCCAATCAGGAAGCTGGGCAGCGGGATTGGCTGAGATGCCAGCTTCCCGTCTAATCAGCATGAAGCCAGCCAAACAGCATGGAGCCTGCTTTCTGGCCAATCAAGCAGCCGGGCAGCAGGTAATGGCCTGCTGCCCGGCTGCTTGATTGCCCTGGAAGCTGGCTCCGTGCTATCAGAAGTGCTGGTATTGGCGAGTGCCAAAATATAAACATTGATACTCGATACCGGAAAAACGGTACTAGTGCAACCCTAGATATAACCCTTCCGTTGAATGAAGAAATGGCTGCGTCCTTCAATGAACTCAAAGAAAATGATTTTATGGGGAGTACAAAAAATCCTATTTTTTAACTGACATTCACCAATAAATATTGTTGAGACATAGTCATTTATTCTCTAATTCCCAAGTAGAAGACCTCTGAGAGATCTGCTGGTGTGTAAGAGGAGGAAAAACAATCTTGTATAAAACAAATTTCATAATTTCTAAAGTTACAAAGACAGTAACAATATAGGTAAGGAGGAAATCGAGAACAAAAATTCAAAACGAAGGACAGTTTACAAGAGAGCAAGACCAACCCCAAAACATTAATTAAAAATATTAACAGTATAAAGATCGGGTCTGAGCATGAGGCCGCTTACAACATAAATCAGAGTTGGCGACTTGGGATAAAGTGAAGGAAAATGCTTGAACTCAAGTCTGAGGCTGTGGCACTACCAACCACTACTCCAACTCAAATTGCTCAACATTTATATAGTCCAGAAACAGAAAAAAATTAAGGTGAGCAAAGCACCTGATTTAGATGACTTGCACCCTTGTGGCCTCAAAGAATTGAGCTCTGTCATTTTGAATGTGGTTCCTACATTTAAAAAGGGATGACAGTCTTTACAAAGTAACTATATGTTAGAAATTGGGGGTGATTTAAAACAAGTAATATGAATATAAATAACATCCGTATTAATAAACCACTTCTTCCTGTTCGAGAGAGAAAGGTCAGCTAAGAACCACACACTACAAACTGAAGGTTTAAAAATAATATATTGTACACACAATTATACATGTACAGTAAGTATTACTTGAATATAGATGAAGAAAAGAGATTACATTGATGAAAAAAAACAATCCTTAGTCACCAATAATGTTATCTAACCTAGACTAATACAGCAACCTTAACTAAGCTACACTAGCATAGCCCCTACACCAAAGAAGAGATATAATTAACCAACAAAGTCGATATCCAAACCAACACATTATGCTGTAAACTTTGGTGAACACTGGGGGGGACATTGTAAGTAATAAACAGCATAATCTTGTTCACCAAGGGAAACCCTAGCCAGGTGAGGGATTTTAGAGTTTAGACCATTTTACTTTGTATACTCGGTTATCAGGTTTAGGAATCTCTAAGATGGAAACATATTGGATTCTCACTATGGACTCATGCTCACATGGCCTCACTAAAAAACTAGAGGTGACTATGTATGTGTGATTCCTGTTTCTATGTACTGTATCTATCTTATAGGTGCCACTACTCACTTTGCCTTTTTTAGATTGATTTATTTGTATAAATGATATTAGTTGCTCTTATTGCAGGTGCTATTTTTTGCTATTATGTTCTATGCATTTTTTTGTGTTAATATATATTAAAGTGAGCATGCAGTAGTATTCTCCATAATCGATCAATCATTTGTTTATATATAGTTTTTTTGTGTTTGGTGCTGCTACAATATCCATTGTGTATGTATGTATGTATGTATATTGTCCCAGTTGTAGCCACTGCACTCTATTTGTACAGGTGAACACCCATGTGCTCCTCCACAAAAAATATACACACAAATCTAAAGTAGGTATTGAGGCAATCACGGTTCTTGCAGCTAGATTAGATAAGTTAAAGCGTCAGCAGTTTATTGTCAGTGTTTCGATTGAGCTCTGTTTTTTTCGAGACAATACAATGAAAAGGTGAACAGACTTATAAACCCAAAGCCCCACCCACCAACAGTCTCTTGTGATGACATCACACAATGCAAAGATAAAAAAGACTTGTAGTGAGTCAAAAGTCAGAGAGTCACTGGTACAAAAAGAACAAATCTTTATAATCTATCAAAAAACAAAATATGCATCCTAACTAGGGCTGCAACAACAAATCAACATAATCGATTATAATCGATTATTGAAAAAGTTGTCAACTTTTTCAATCATCGATTAATCGGCTTCCGATTGGTTGGCCCTGTCCATGGCTCCACGCTGCGCGCCACACTTCCTCCCCACCTCACGCTCGCTGCTGCCAGACCCACCCGCATCCACATGCCGCACCTCCTCACGCTCACCGCCTGCCCACATCCACGATCGACACAGGGACAGGGAGAAGAAGTAAGGAGGAGCAGGTGTGGGGGGGTGACAGCTGCCGATAGACAGGTCCGACCTCAGAAACAAGTTGCTGGAAGACTGCTCAGGTAAGCCTGCCCCTTCCCCACACATGGTGCTCTATAATGTATTGCTGGGATTTGTATTCCTCTATAGCTGATGGTACATTGTGCTGTATATTATACAGAGGAATACAAATCCCAGCAATACATTATACACTGCATGTATAATGTATTGCTGGGATTTGTTGTATCCCTATAAAGCTGGTGGTATTCTGCATTGCTCTGTATAGAGGACTACAAATCAAAGAATAATACATTATACAGTGCAATGCCGAATACCACCAGCTATAGAGGACTACAAATCCCAGCAATAGTACAGTGCACTGCAGAATACCGCCAGCTATAATGTACTATTGCTGGGTTTTGTAGTCCTCTATAGCTGGTGGTATTCTGCATTGTGCTGTATAGAGGACTAGAAAAACCCAGCAATAGTACATTATACAGCGCAATGCAGAATACCGCCAGCTATAGAGGACTACAAAACCCAGCAATAGTACATTATACAGCACAATGCAGAATACCGCCAGCTATAATGTACTATTGCTGGGTTTTGTAGTCCTCTATAGCTGATGGTATTCTGCATTCATTGCTGTATAATTTTACACTTTCCATTTCACTATATTGCACACCACACTTTTTTTTTTTCTTTTTTACTTCCACCGCTCCAAGCTTGCTCCTGTGATGGACTGCAATCTCAATACAAACTAGTAGTCCCATCACTGGAGCCATTTTTTAAAATGTATTTTATTTTTTATCCGATTAATCGAACTTAATAATCGGCTAACTAATCGATTATGAAAATAATCGTTAGCTGCAGCTCTAATCCTAACTATACAAAACAAGCTAATACATTAAAAAATATCAAGTGCTATGTTCTATATCCCAAAAAATTTAAAAACTTAAGAATGATCTCAAATAGAAACTTCTTGCTGAAAAAGAAAAAAAGAAATCACAAAATGTTATGTGTACGTTTTTTGTCCTACTTTTCATCAGAAATATATTTAGAGTTCTTTAAATCAAAGTTTTACTGGTAAATAAGGGGTATGCAAGTACAAGAACTCAGATGGTTAAAGGTGGCCAAATACATTAATCAAAGGTAAGGTGGAAGCCTCGCTTATGATTAAAGTTTACAAAATGTTAGCTTGTTTAGCTGAATATGAAACACATTTTGGATTTGGTAATAGGAAGATTTATTATTTTAATTCTAAGGGAAGGTCAGTGACTGGATGCCTTTCTTACAACTACTAGTATGTACACTTATAATTATTGAAAACATGTCTAAAAGTAGTTTAATCCACATAATTAGTCACCTACTCTTTGGGATTGAATTGGATGTGTTAGTGAATTAAAAGGTACAATTAACTGTTGTATAAAGTTAAAACTGATTGTTGTACAAAGTAAGCCTTTATAGTGCATAGTTAAGTGCTGTGTGGAGCTGACTGGTATTTTACATGTTAGAATGTTACATAAATGTAAAAAAAATTACTATCAATTCTTTGAGCATTATGTTTGCAGAGGTTTTTTCTTTGTCCTTTCAATTATTACATTAAAATTAAGTTTGACTCATATTTTATAGTGTTGGTTTTCTTTATCTAGGTAACAGTAAATTAAAATGTTTTTGAAAGCTTGCATTGTAGTTTTAGGTATGATTAAAGCTGTTTGTTGTTCTTTAGTTTTTCTCCAGACCCGTTTAGCTCCAATGTTTTGCCTGGGTTAAAAGTATCTTTGGATTTGTCTGCAGAATTCCTGATTCTCACTGATGTTCAGAGAAAAGTATGTATTCATAAGCATTTTATTTGTAATTAACAAAATATCATGGTATAAAATCTCTGTGGTATAAATTTAACCTTTTTTTTTATTATTCTATTTCTGTGTGCAGGTTTTGTATGTGATGGAGTTACAGCAGAATCAGGATGAGGGAAGGGCTGCTTTCACTTCAATTTCTGAATTTTTGCTGACTCACCCAGTTTTGAGTTTTGGAATTCAAGATGTATGTCGTCATGTAAGACATTCAGAAGTTCTCCCATCAGAGGCAGAAAATGATAATGCTGGTGCAGGTGGGTAAAATAAAAAGATTTGATTATTATCCATGCAAATGTTGCATTTTTTTACTAAAAGGTTTTCCAACAGCACATATTTAAACCTTACCCTGCCAACGACGTAACACTTACGGCGGTACACAACTGTTTCCAGCTGGCCAACTCAGTAAGCCTTATGTCGGTTGCTTTCTCCCTTCTGCTAAAAGCTCATGGTCGCTTTAGTGACTGGTCAGGAAGGACTGGTCATTCCTGACCGGTCAGGAAGCCAGGCAGCCTCTGAAGCCGGTGTTCTTTCACTAGAACACTGGCTTCACAGGCAATCAGGAAGTTGGGCGACAGGTCATGATCTTCCGTCCGACTTCCTGATATTCAGAGCACAAGGCACCAAATATTGTTATCAGAGAGTCCCAAAAAAAAATATCGGTACTCTTGCTTGATACCGAAAAACCGGTATCGCTGCATCCCTAATATATACCCCTTGTTTATTTGAGTTATACAATTGGGGTGTTTTCTCTGGAAAAGTTCATGTCGGAACAAAACACGCGTTAGCAAGTTTTTACACATCATAGGTTCCTGCAATGTATGGTGATGGTCTTTCCCAATTATATTTTACACATGTGAATAGGGCTGCAATAACTAATCAATTATCATCAATTAGTTGCTTTACGATTACTTTCCGACGCCCTGCTCCCCGGTGGCTGCAGTGGTCTGTGTCCCTTTCAATACCCACTGTTATCCCTGCCTGTATCAACAGAGGCAGCGAGGGCACAGGCCTCCCCCGCTGCCC